GGTGATCTTCCGTTGATTGTTTTTCCTACTTTGCTGACATTCAATGTGAGGTGCTTTTACAATAAGCGCTGACTACCCTCTCCCATATTGTTCCTTATGGCGGAGTATAGCAGCTACATGAAGAGCAGTTCATTTCCTGTAAATCTGTCTTTAGGGATCGTTGGCGGTGGACTGTGCGGTTGTGCTACCGCCTATTTTCTGCGTCAGTTGATGGGTCCAGCTGTAGCGATTACGCTTTTCGAGAAGTCTGGCCAGCTAGGAGGTCGCGTGAGATCGCAAAGAATTGGCGACAATGTTTTCGAGCTCGGTGGCAGCATTTTCACTCGTGACAATAGATACATGAGCTCCTTGACCGATGCCTTTGGTAAGTGTGGTCATTCGCTGAACGTTTTGCACAACCGTTGTTTTTAATACTATGGTTAGATTTTCTGTACATTTACATCTGTAATTTAGCTTTACGGGCGTCGATGTTTGTATTTATTTGTACATGTATTTGATACGGCTGTGATCATACCCAATCTAGCCGACTTCAATTTGCATGAGAGCTCTTGAGGATTTTGAATACAGCCGGGTCCCCAACAGCCGCTCGGATTCTTTTTTCGAGGTTGTCTTCTCCAGTACTTTGGCTCAAGAATGTAACCACGAGGCAGCGGTGGCAAGCAAACCTATTAAATGGCGGTTCACACTTGCTATGTCACAGTGTCGCCATTGGGACTTGCGGCATTTTGTAAGGCAGTCGGTGCGCCAAATGTCAGCCCTCCGCGCCCTGGCAACACTGTTGCTGCTGGCCCGCGACTGCTTATTTGCCAGGCCCAGGAGCCTGCTTTTTTGACAGCTAACCTTCACTGAAGGCCGTTTCACTATCCGCCACTTTTGGACGCGCCAGGTAGCCAGCAGCTAGGTCAAGGGCTAACTCGTCTTCCCAGTGTATTTATTTTTGTTCTGCACGACAGATAATTGTGAATACAAGCGAACATACGATTCCCAGGAAGTAAGAAGAAGAAGATTCGATTGCTGTGGCAAGCGTGCTGGGTGTGGTCGTAAGCGTACCATTTTGAGTACGTAGAGGGAGATTTCCGTCCGTCAAATTCCTTTGTAATTAGTTCGGGAGGTAGATTACGATAAGGCTCAAATCGTTCTTAAAATGGTGGTGAACATTTTATGATTTTCAGTGTTTTCATTCCATTGCCCATAAATACAGATTCTGTCATACGTGTTCACCAACTAAGATATTTCTTAAAGGCATTTACCTAACCGAACATTCTTTCTTATGCATCCACCTGTTTGGGTCATGGTTTTAGAATCACCCAAAAATTTCAACTAATTGCCGAGAAAAACGAACGTCCACAACAAAAGCCAGAAATGAATATGCCCAAAATTAATCAAAACACTTTCTATAACAAGTCACGTCTGAAAAAAAAACGGGTAAAAAGGAAAACCCACTATTCTTCGTATATTGTAGCAGTTTTCGGTATAGTTGTTTAACTTTAGGCCCCCTTTTATGGTGTCAAATGCACAACGAGTTTGCGAAAGCTGCTAATCGTCTGCCCGTTCCGTTTCAAGTTTTCCTATTATTTTATAATAAACTGTTGATATAGAATATTTGGATAACTTTAGAGTACGACTTTCCAGAGAAAAGTGACGAAGTTTCGTGGGTGTTCATGTATGTGTTTGATTACGGTCTTTATTTTCGGTGAAGTAAAACAAACGAGAGTTGTACAAATTTATTGTTTAGTTCTATGGCGCAAAACGCAACAGATTTAAAACATGGAATTTTTAAAACTTAATCCGCTCTTCTTTACCCGAAAACAAGTTGATTTCTCATATTTGCATTTACCTGATTCTCATGAAGGTACAAAAAAATTTCCGTTCGCTGAAAAGATAATTTAAGCTT